TGGTGACGCACTCATAATGGATTGGTGACGCACTGGTGACGCACTCAATGGATTGGTGACGCACTGGTGACGCACTCATAATAGATTGATGACGCATTGGTGACGCAGTCATAGTGAATTGGTGACGCACTCATGATGGATTGGTGACGCACAGGTGACGCACTCATAATGGATTGGTGACGCACTGGTGACGCACTTATAATGGATTGGTGACACACTGGTGACGCACTCATAATGGATTGGTGACGCACTCATGATGGATTGGTGATGCACTGGTGACGCACTCACGATGGACTGGTGACGCACTCATGATGGATTGGTGACGCACAGGTGACGCACTCATGATGGATTGGTGACGCACTGGTGACGCACTCATAATGGATTTGTGACGCACTCATGACGGATTGGTGACGCACTGGTGACGCACTCATGATGGATTTGTGACGCACTCATGACGCATTGGTGACGCACTCATACTGGATTGGTGACGCACTGGTGACGCACTCATAATGGATTGGTGACGCACTCATGATGGATTGGTGATGCACTGGTGACGCACTCACGATGGACTGGTGACGCACTCGTGACGCATTGGTGACGCAAATATAATGAACCGGTGACGCACTCGTGACACACTTATGATACAATTGTGACGCACTCATGATACCCTGTTCACGCACTCATGGCATACTCATGACACACCCATAAAGCACTCATGACACATTGATGACGCACTCGTGACGCACTGGTGACACACTCATGATGCACTCGCGACACATCTATGACACACTAGTGATGCACTCGTGATGGACTAGTGATACACTCATGACATACGTGACACACTTATGGGGCACTCATGACGCACTCGTGACGCACGCTACTGTCAGAGAGGTACAAAATAAATTCGTATGTTCAGCATAATTAAATTTGTCGTTCAATTTGATGGTATCTAATATTTTAATCATATTAATTTGTTTTGATGTTCTAATAGCGATGACGCAATGTGTAAATGATGAAAAATGTATAAAATTGTATGTTGAGAATAGAAAGTATTCTACGTTTACGTTACATATGCTTGAATAAATTTACTGAGCATTAAGACGTCAGAAGATTAAAATCTCTAGAAGTAATTACATCAATTGTGATATAATCGTGATCGTAAAACACGTGGTAGAAAATGTGTCGGTGAGACCGAAGGAAGAACGAAAACGTCTATTCGAAGCGTAGAATAGCTGTAACGCTAGACCGGTGTAGTTCGGTTATCAAAGCGTTAAAATTGCATACGAAACGAAATTCATCGTACGCAATTAGCGGAGAATAATTAAATCATAAGCAGGCCATTCCACAGCGATCCCCCGAAGGCGAGGAAACGCAGGCAGCCGGAAACCGCGCGTACATAGAGACGATAGCCGGAAGGCTGGCCTCTCACGATGCAACTGCATTTGATCTCCATTAATAACAACGAGTACACGCCTAATGCAGTCGTAGCCTGGAAAGACGCGGCCTAATTACGTATGCACGCTCGATTCTGCATAGGTGCAGACCAAACCACGGACGTGTTTGACCCCCGTACGCGCCGCTGGCCGTGTATTGTTACAACATGCACGCGTGCACACGCTTTGCCTATCTCTACCGTCTACGACGGCCATATTTACACGGGCTAATGAATTTCATACATAATTACAGCTGGCCCGTGGCACGATCGACGGCTAAAGCTTGCCCTTTGCTGCGATCCTACGTCCGAACGAGACAATTTCACCCCTGGACATCGGAAACCGCCTCTAGTCAGAATTTATGATTTATTGCCCAGAAATCATGTTACAGAAGGGTTGTTTTATACTTATTTACTGTAATCTTGGTTGGAAGCAACTGTTTCAACATCTTGTATTAATTAGCATGATCACAGTATCTATAACTTTAAATAAGAGGTAGATAAGGTATTTTACCTTAATCAAATTCATAAAGCGGATGAACAATATGGTTGTAATTGTGGCCAGAACATCAGATGAATCTAATCAGAAGACTGATAAATCCCTAAAAATTGTAGTACTAATTTCATCTAACCTTGCTTAACTTAATTTAATCTCAAACTAATCAAATTCAACTTCATCAAGCCCCAATTCAACTTGTTTTAATCTCAACCCCATCTACCGTAACTTCGCCTAATCTTGACCTAACCTAACCTAAGTTGCTCTAATCTGAACCTAACCTACTTTAAATTGACCTAATTTCAATCTAACCTAACTTAACTTACTCTAATGTTAATCTAACCCAGTTTAAATTAACTTAATCTCAACCTAACCTAATTTAACTTGTCCTAATTTTAGTCTAACCTCGTTTAAATTAACTTGATCTCAACCTAACTTAACTTAACTTGTCCTAATTTTAATCTGACCTCGTTTAAATTAACTTGATCTCAACCTAACTTAACTTAACTTGTCCTAATTTTAGTCTAACCTCATTTAAATTAACTTAATCTCAACCTAACTTAACTTAACTTGTCCTAATTTTAATCTGACCTCGTTTAAATTAACTTAATCCCAACCTAACCTAACTTAACTTGTCCTAATTTTAGTCTAACCTCGTTTAAATTAACTTGATCTCAACCTAACTTAACTTAACTTGTCCTAATTTTAATCTGACCTCGTTTAAATTAACTTGATCTCAACCTAACTTAACTTAACTTGTCCTAATTTTAGTCTAACCTAATTTAAATTAACTTAATCTCAACCTAACCTAACTTAACTTGTTCTAATCTTAACCTAACTTAATTTACATTAACTTAACTTCAACCTAACCTGACTTAACTTGTTCTAATCTCAACCTAACCGAATTTAAATTATCTTAATCTCAACCTAACCTAACTTAACGTGACTTAATCTCAACCTAACCTAATCTCACTGCCTCTAATTTTCACTCAACCCAACCTAACCTAAACTTAAGTTCCAAAAGCATACAAAATGCATAAAAAATGTATGAAAAAGGGTTGTTAACCCCAAAATTTCAAGGCAAATTATGAAATAACGCGAGCTGGTTCGAAGCACTCCTCAAAATTCGCTTCATCGTTCGCTTTGTAGTCGCGTTTCTGTGACTTCCGTTAAATTGTAAAATTGCGTTTGCCAATCCCACGGTTGGAACGATCGACAAAGCCTTTTCAACCCTGAAAACAATGGTTCGCTGGAAGAAACAAAAAAAAAAAAATGGGAATACACGTCGCACGGAATCGAAGCAACCAAAGGAGGGGCGGAAGCTTTGGTAATCGAGTTTCTTGGCTCGTTTCGAGAGCGAGCGAACTCGATCACAAGCGGAAAATTCGAAATTCGAGCGTTTTATTAACCGTGATCTTTGTCAACGAACGGAAATCACGTTTCCACGCGAACTCGAGTTTGCAGTTTTTCGTTAGAGTGTTCTGCAAAATACGCGGATTTGTTTCACGGAATTAATTTCTCTAAAACGCTCCGGAAATATGAGAATTTTTAAAAAATCTTGCAGAGAAGAAAATTTGAAAATTCGTTAAAATTGACCTAATGCAAATTAACGCCTATTAAAATTTATAAAAGACTTAAAAATTTACATATGCAAAAATCCGTGAGATTTGCAATGCAAATTAGCAACGAAAGTTGCAGAAAGATCTGCAAAAAATCGAAATTTTAATATCAAAGTGCAGAAACCAACTTTTAAAATCGAGATAAGGTAAATTATGGCGAAGTTGAAAACGTTGAGTGCAAAATTGAACGTGAAGCTTTATTAAGGCAAAGAGTAGATAATGAACATTATAAATCCGATAAGGCAAAGGAAGCTCATTTATAAAGGTTCACTTTAAAACGCCACGAAAAATCTGCAGCATCCGTTACAACGCAAGATAAATCTCATTCATTATAAATTTATTCCTTTATATCGCATTGTACGCGCTGCAGATCGGCGTGTTTTTATTCGTGCCGATAAACGAACATCGTTAAAACTTTTCCGAGGAGCTTACGAACGAAAAACTGTCGTTAATTACCGGAAATTACGATCTAAAGCTCAGTTAGCTACGTTCATCGACGAGGATAAACAAGGAATCGGAAAGGGATTAAAAGGGAGGGTGTTTCGAGCGACAAATTTTACCTTTGATGAAAATTACGCAAAATGTTTATTTTCTTGTGATTGTTGGGAAGTTGGGGAAAGTGGATGAATACAAAAAATGACTGGTTGGAAGTTAATCAGAGGTAGCTCTAAGGAGGACCCAGGTGCTATTAGGATTGGGACTAATAGGGCTATGTATTGCATTCTTAGTAGGGTTGTAGGTTTCAATAAATTTCAAGGTATTTTTAAGGATTATACTCTTCTTAGGTCTACTCTTCCTATTGGATACTCTAAGGGTTTTAAGCTAGTTGTAGGTCCTAAGGTATTGCCTAGGTCCTACACTCCTTTGAGGTCCACACTCTCACATATCCACACTGATAGATCCACACTCTCATATATCCATACTCTCACATATCCACATTGATAGGTCCACACTCTCATATATCCATACTCTCACATATGAACACTCTCACAGGCCCACACTCTCACATATCCACACTCTCACAGGTCCACACTCTCACATATCCATACTCTCACATATCCACACTCTCACATATCCACACTCTCATAGGTCCACACTCTCACATATCCACACTCTCACATATCCATACTCTCACAGGTCCACACTCTCACATATCCACTCTCATACGTCCACACTCTCACATATCCATACTCTCACATATCTACACTCTCACAGGCCCACACTCTCACATATTTACACTCTCACATATCCACACTCTCACAGGCCCACATTCTCACTAGTCCACACTCTCACATATCCACGCTCTCACATATCCATACTCTCACAGGCCCACACTCTCACTAGTTCACACTCTCACATATCTCCACACTCTCACATATCCACTCTCACAGACTTGATAGCCTCCACCACTGATCCCCTAAGCTAGCTATTTGACTTGAGCTTCACTTAGGCTCACAAGTCAACCTAGTATGGTCCACACTCTTACATATCCACACACTCACATATCCTCAATCTAACAGACTTGATAGTCCACACCACTGATCCCCTAAGCTTGCTACTTGACTGGAGCTTCACTTAGGCCCGCAAGTCAACCTAGTATGGTCCACACTCTTACATATCCACACTCTCACATGTCCTCAATCTCACAGACTTGATAGCCTCCACCACTGATCCCCTAAGCTTGCTACTTGACTTGAGCTTCACTTAGGCCCACCACACTCTCACATATCCATACTCTCACATATCCACACTCTCACACAAGTCAACCTAGTATGGTCCACACTCTCACATATCCACACTCTCACATATCCACCCTCCCACATGTCCTGAATCTCACAGACTTGATATTCTACACCACTCAACCTCTAAGTTTGCTACCTGACTTGAGCTTCACATAGACCCACCAGTGAACCTAGTACCTACGGTCCACACATCGTACCACATAACCTCCCATCTCCCTATATGCTGCTCTTGTTAAAAGAATGAACACCTGTTATCTTATCCCCATAATCCCAGCCTGAGCTCATAAACTTTCTATGCACCTTTTCCATATGTTCCACATGTTCCATATGTTTCCCACTATTCCATATAGCACACTTATCTCCTAAGCCCGCTTCCATTAAAAGAATGAAGTTTCTATCCATTTTAAAAGCTTGATCTGACCCAATTTGATGGAACAGAAATAACATCGTCCTCCATAACATCCCGGTAATTTAACAGGATAAAAAGAATAGAGTGTAGTAAGTGGAGAGGTCCGGCAAGTATTTTTCCTCATTAATAAAAGGAAAGGAGTACGCGCAATTCCGGTCGGTGAAATATACCGGGCAGCAATTAAAATTTGCATTATTCGTGCCCCGGCAACTGGACACCGTTTAATGGATGGCACGGTGTGTATTTCTGAAAATATTCCACGAAAAATTTCTATGTGTCCCACGGGACGTCGGATAAACGGTTGCTCGACGTGCAATCTAGAGAAGGAGAACTTCCATATGCGTCGTTGAAATACGAGAAACGAAGGATAAAAAAAGGGTGGGAGGGTTGAAAGCGGAAAAACGGAGGAAAAGCCAAAGCGGATACTCACAAGTTTAGCGGTTTGCGCTGACAGCATGTCCGCGTACTGTATTAGTGCCTGGAAAGTACCTGGAACAAAAAGGAAATAATGTTAGAATTAAATGCAAAAAGGGTTCTTTGAGAATTATGGTCTAGTAAATTTTGTAGTTTTACTACTTGTTCGTACTCGTACATGTGTTATACACGACACTGATTAGTATACTGACTCGACATGGGTTATGATTAATTGAAAATTAAAATTAATTTGAAAATTGTATAATAATTAATTATGAGGTTCATAAACTAACTCAACTTAACTTGACCTTATCTCGAGTTAAGCTACCTTAAGTTGATGAATTATGAACATAATCTTATTTAATTTTACTTAATTTCAATTTAAATCACCTAACCTCAATCTAATCTCAACTTAAGCAAACTTAACTTGTCCTACATCCAACCTAACCTAACTCAAATTGACTTAATATCAATCTAATCTAATTTAATTTGATTTAACTGCAACCTAACCTAACTCAAATTGACTTAATATCAATCTAACCTAACTTCATTTGACTTAACTGCAACCTAACCTAACTTAAATTGACTTAATATCAATCTAACCTAACTCAACTTGTCCTAATCTTAACCTAACCTAACTTAATTTGTTCTAATCTCTATTTAACCTAACTTAATATGTTCTAACCTACATCTACATTAGTCTAACTTCTTCTCATTTCAATCTAACCTAACTTAACTTGTTCTAATCACAACCTAACCTAATTTAAATTGACTTAAACTCTCAACCCAACATAACGTAACGTCATGTAATCTGAACCTAATTTAATTTAAGCTGACTTAATCTCAACCTAACCCATCGTAACTTAATCTAATCTCAATCTAACCCACTTTAACCTAATCTAATTTCAACCTAACTTAACTTGTCGTAATCTGAACCAAACCTAACTTAATATGTTCTAACCTCCATGTACATTAGTCTAACTTCTTCTCATCTCAGTCTAACCTAACTAACCTTGTTCTAATCACAACCTAGCCTTACACCTAATAAGTTAATGTTGGTCATTAAAATTATAGTGTCTTCCATTTTCACTAGCCTAATTTAAATTGACTTAAACTCAACCTAACATAACTTAACGTCATGTAATCTGAACCTAACCAAATTTAAAATGACTTAATCTCAACCTAACCCATCTTGACTTAATCTAATCTCAATCTAACCCACTTTAACTTAATCTAATTTCAACCTAACTTAACTTAAACTGACTTAATATCGATCTAACCTAACTTAACTTGTTCTAATCACAACCTAACCTAACTTAACTTGATCTTATGTTAATCTAACCGAACTTAAGTTCATCTAATCTCAATCTAACCTAACTTAATCTGATCTAAGCTTACACTAACCTAGTTAGATTAACCTCCATCTAACTTATCCTCATTTTTACTTGAAGTAACTTAGTTTAATCTGATCCTAACCTAACTTAGCGTAAAGTAGTGCCAACTTAACCTACATTCAATTCATGTAGTACCAACCTAACTTTGTCTAATAGTAACTTAACCCACAACAAAATAGAAATAATGTTAGAATTAATCGCAAAAGGAGTTCCTTGAAAATTATTAGCGGAATTGATTAATACATTGGCCCGATACAATCTCGGGTTACGATTAACTGAAAACTGAAATTAATTTAGAAATTGTGTAACAATTAACTGTATTAGAGAGAGATTAATACGAGAACCGGTTGTGTTATTCGATGACTAATTACGCCGAATCGAAATTAATGTAGAAACTATCTGGAAATGATTCAAAGGTTTCGAAACCAATTATAAACCAGCGCGTAATTGTTTGACAATTTACGTTCATTGTAAATAAATAATATCGCAGAAATTTCCGATAGAACATTTTATAGGGCGTTTAATTAAATTCAATCTCCGGTTATCTTTCGCACAAAAGTTTCAATATTATTTTAATTCGTCAACAAAACGAAAATTCAACACCGCGTTTATTTGTTCAACTTAAACTACGCGAAATATTATCCGGAATCAAAGCAGGTTTTTTCGTAAAAGGTAAATATAAAATATGTTCCCGTGGAAAAAAAAAATTCGTCGCGCTCGTCCCTCGATTTTCGAAATTGAATGTCGTTTCCAATGGCGCTCCTCGTCGCCGAAAATTAACTAAAGCTGAAATTAAATGGAAATAAAGGCAACCACCGTGTTCTCCTTTTTTCCCTCTCGATTCGCGGTAATATGTTGTGACACCGGTCAGTTTTTCTCCGCGGATGAATTTTTATTATCGACCCTCGATTCCCCCGGTGGCGATTAACTCAACGATGGAAATTGAATAACGCTCCGCTCGGCGAAAAACTCCGCCCTCCCTGTTGTCGCATTATATCGCTAATAAAACAGCCATCCGTGTTTTTTTATGCAGATCAAAGGCGCGTATTAACGTTACGAATATCCCTCTCGATGAGACATTTAACGGAGAAAAATCAATAATCATGCAGACCAACAAAATTTAATGTTGGTCATCAAAACTATAGTGTCTTCCATTTTCCAATACGAGACGCCATTTTGTAGACATGGACGTTTGAAGATGGAGCAATTGACTGACAATGGACCTAATCTAGGGGTGGAGTTAACCTAATTGTAACAATTGTAGAGTTGCAGTGCAAGGCTAATATATGACGCACCTGGTGTGTCAGGATATTGTTCTACAAATATGATATGACGCACGCGGTGTGTCACTATGTTTTGCAAATATGACATGACGCACCTGGTGTGTCAGTATATTGTTCTGCAAGTATGATATGACGCACCTAGTGTGTCACGATGTTCTACAAATATGACATGACGCACCTGGTGTGTCAGTATGTTATTCTGCAAATACGATATGACGCATGTGGTGTGTCACTATGTTCTGCAAATATGGCATGACGCACCTGGTGTGTCAGTATGTTATTCTGCAAATACGATATGACGCATCTGGTGTGTCACGATGTTCTCTAAATATGACATGACGCACCTGGTGTGTCAGTATGTTATTCTGCAAATACGATATGACGCATGTGGTGTGTCACTATGTTCTGTAAATATGACATGACACACCACGTGTGTCAGCATATTGCTCTGTAGCTATGACATGACGCACATGGTGTGTCACATAAGTATCATGTGTGCCTGTATTCGATTCTGGCTATATGTATGTAATATAATACTTACTGTTCTTCGTGAAGGTGACGATTTTGAGGACCTTGCCAAAACGCGTGAATATCTGGAACAAAAATAAAGTTCTTCGTTAAAATATCGAATTACATTTCCATATTGTAATTAATCTAAAAATTTAAATATTGGACTCGGTGTTATGAAAGTAGGATATGTGTATGGAGAGGTATATAATAAAATATCTGGAAATTCTCAGATTTCTATGTCTCAAATCTAAAATACCTATGTCTCTATATCCGTATGTCCCAAATCTGAAATCTGAAATATCCCTAGATCTCTGTGTCCTAAATCCAAAATATCCACATATATCCCACTATCCTTATATCCCTATATGTCCCCGTATCCCTATGTCCTCATATCCCAAGTGTCCCCATATCCCAAGTGTCCCCATATCCTAAGTGTCCCCATATCCCAAGTGTCCCCATATTCCAAGTAAGTGTCCTCATATCCCAAATGTCCCCATATCCCAAGTGTCCCCATATTCCAAGTAAGTGTCCTCATATCCCAAATGTCCCCATATCCCAAGTGTCCCCATATCCCAAGTGTCCCCATATCTCAAGTGTCCCCATATCCCAAATGTCCCCATATCTCCTGTGTCCCCATATCCCTATGTCCCCATATCCCAAATGTTCCCATATCCCAAGTGTCCCCATATCCCCTGTGTCCCCATATTCCAAGTTGCCCTTATATCCCTATGTCCCTATATCTCAAGTGTCCCCATATTCCCATGTCCCTACATCCCTATGCCCCAAATCCGAAAACCCTATATCCTCAGATCTCCTAAAGTTCCAGATTCAGAAAATCCCCCTTGAATCACCCCAATCCAGTTATCATTTAACGCTCCCTCTTAATACAGATTCCGCAATGTTCGATACGTCCCAGTCAAATAAAAATCAATATCCGACAGTGTCATAATGGATTCAGCAAATGATACGCAGGTGTATAATCTTTTAATTAATATCATCCGCGACCAAACTAAAAACGACCGGGAGAATACAGTGACTTAATTTAATGAGTTACGCTTTTTCGAGCTTGCGTTCGCTGCATTTAACTCGGGATTTCACAGAGTAAAGCTTTTAATTACCTTAATGATGGCACAAATCTTCAACGAGTATCTCTAATTGCATAAGGGGTATTTCACTTTTCTGCCCCACCCCCAAGAAAACGTCATTAAATTAACAAATACTACACGATTCGCGTTTCATTTATTAATAACAGCCGTCCCCGATAATACGTTAATTCAATCAGAAATGAGTTCCGATTCGAACGAATAATCCGAGCGGCAATTAATTATAATCTTTTCTTCCTGTAACGATTGAAAATCGAGTGTTGTTCAAACATACGAGCAATCGATCATTCCTTTTTCACGCGAAATGTCGCGGCAAATAACGAAAAAATGAAGTTAATTAATTAAACGCACGCGGCTCATGTTGAGCTGTTAGTATTAATCACCATGCGAAGAGAGCTCGTTCATTTGGAAAGCTCGTTTATTTAGCATTTGTCCGGAGAGGTGCGAAATATTTCTGGAGAGTGCTTTGTTAAAAGTAACAATTGCTGAAATGTTTTGGGGACATAACTGTATTAATATCGTGACACGATTAAGATATTGTAGTGTACAATTTTTAGGTTGCATCTATCGATGGCAACACATGAGCTGGCGCGAGGCCCAGCTGTGGAGACGCTAGGGACTGAGAACTCTAGGTTCACCTCCTCTTAGGTTCATATTTGTATATATGTTACCGTGAAAGACCGAAATTGAAGAATGTCGGTGAAAGACCGAATATTTTATTACATTCTTGTACATTCAGACCTTCACCGCTGCATGTCGACAATCACAGATATGCTCTGCTGGAGGTCCAAAAGAGAGGAGCCGACAAAGAAGCGACTGGCTCTCTCCCGCCAAATCCTGTGTTCTGCGCGGAGTCAGTCAGCTTTGTCAATCTTATGCAAGCTTTGATAATGCGAGCAACGTTTTCTTAATTTTTTTTCCAATATCGTAATTTATATTGAACGGATACTGCAGTAAATCGTGATCTTTTTCTTGAAAAGTTAAATGCATTAATTGCGGGAAAACGAGAAGACAATTGTTTTTATTTTCCTCAAGAAAAGTACTCTAAAATACTTTCTGAAGTGGTTTCTGCTAAAACTAAGTGCAACACACCTTTGGATTACAGACGATTAAAACGTTTTGACGTTTTAAAAATTAATGATGAAAGGAAATTAATTGTACCATTAAAATCAGGGGAAACGAATATACAGTATTATGTTACCAATGAAGAATTGTTCAGTATACTGTATGAAACTCACGCCAGAATAGGCCACGGAGGAAGAACACGTATGCTTAGAATGTACTATGTGTTTTAAATTATTGGTCTCTCCTCTCAGAAAGAGAGGCGAAAAAGTTACGTCACCCTTGTGACGTTTTATAGCGACTGAATTACGGAGAAGAAAATATAAATCTCCGACATGTTCAACATTCACCATTAGTGCATGGTGAATGTCGACATTTACCGGTGTAAGTCAGAAATAAGGGTATTTAGCAAATATTTCGGACATACACCAAGCGACTATGTGAATGTCGACATTCTCCAGATTTCGGTCTTTCACGGTAACATATACATAGTTGACGTGCCAACTCTTGGGTTGACTCTTGTATGTACATAGTTGAAGCACCAGCTCTTGATTTGACATCCATATGTATACAGTTGAAGCGCCAACTCCTGGGTTTCCATCTGTACACATCCACCCCAAAAAAATGTAACGAACATACGCAAATTACTATGAGCTAAATTCGTCGACCGTGCACAAAAATAAAGATACCAAAAAAACTCGTATATTCGCAATTGCAGCAGCGGTAAAAAAAAAAAAAAAAAAAACGAGAAAAAAATCAGCGATCGTTTTCGAACGATTAGCGAGCTCGAACGAGCAACGCGCGGACAGTCGTGTAATTCTGCTGGTAAATAAATAAAATCTCATAAAAATGCATGGCACCGGAGGAACGCGAGAAATATCTGAAAATGTGAATGGAATCGGAATCGCGTCCCGTCAAGTGAGTGGGCTGTTATGGGGGTTGGATTTAGAGAGGGTGCGGGGGGTTGGTTGCTCGCTAATGCTGGCGGTGTTACGCGTTTTAGCTTTCATCGAATATTCAATATCGCCACGTCACTACCGGATCAAATGAAGAATTTATATTTTCGTTGACGTAACGATAAATCTGCGCGATGAAAAATAGAGCGGACCGTGTGATTGGGATACGATAATCTTTCGTGTGAATCAGTTGTTTTGTATTTTTATGATGGTGATTATATTGTTGGTTGTGTTATTTCCTTTTTTGGGAAATTTTCATATGGTAATAGTCATATAGTAGGAGTCAAAAGATAATAGTCATATAGTAGCAGTCATAAGGTAATAGTTATATGGTAGTAGCCATAAGTCATAAAGTAATAATCATAAGATAATAGTCACAAAGTAATAGTCACAAAATAATAGTCATAGTTACAATCATAATTACAGTCATAGTTACAGTCATAGTTGCAGTCATAGTTGCAGTCATAGTTACAGTTCTAGTTACAGTCATAGGTACAATCGTAGTTGTAGTCATACTTGTAGTCATACTTGTAGTCAGACTTGCAGTCATAGTCATAATCATAGTCATAGTCATAAAGTCACAGCATCATAACTATAACTATAGGCCTCTTCTACACCTTCTATATTAATAGTCATAATTACAATCATAGTAAACGAAGATTTCAATCACAATAAAACCACTGTAACTCGACCGTGCACCTTCTTTCAGTCTATCATGTCATATATTAATAGTCACAGTTATAGTCACACAGTAATAGTGTCATAAGCATCTACATCACATTAAAAGTCATAATTGCAATCATAGTAAACGAAGATTTTAATCGCAATAAAACTACCGTGGCCCCTCATTTAGACGAATAAAATCATTGCGAAATTCGATATCGCAGTTCGCGTGCATGCAATTAATATTTCCATCGGTTTAATTATTCCGCATTCAATTAGGGAGGTCAGTGTGTAAATCTTACCTACAGGAAATACGATCAAAACGGACGTTGTTCATATTCATAATTACAAATCCTGATGAGCTTGAAAACGCGATGAAAAAGATATTAACGGTGTTCATTTATTTTTATCTCACGGTGGGCAATTTAAGTCATATTTGGGGAAATCGGTGAACACGGGATTAAGACTTGAGAAGTTAAATAAATAGTTCTTTATAATATATTGTGATAGTTCGACGGGTCGAATTACCACGCGTTAAATTACTACGCGTCGAATTACCATGAGCTGAATTACCACGCATGAGATTACTACGCGTCGTATTACCACGCGTCGAACTACCACGCGTTAAATTACCACGCGCCGAATTACCACGCGTCGAACCACCACGCGTTAAATTAGCACGTGTCGAATCACCACGCGTCGAATATCCACGCATGAGATTACTACGCGTCGTATTACCACGCGTCGAACTACCACGCATTAAATTACCACGCATCGAATTACCATGAGTTGAATTACCACGCATGAGATTACTACGCGTCGTATTACCACGCGTCGAACTACCACGCGTTAAATTACCACGCGTCGAATTACCACGCGTCGAATTACCACGCGTCGAATTACCATGAGTGGAATTACCACGCGTCGAATACTCACGCGCCGAATTACCACGCGTCGAACCACCACGCGTTAAATTAGCACGTGTCGAATCACCACGCGTCGAATATCCACGCACCGAATTACCACGCGTCGTATTACCACGCGTCGAACTACCACGCGTGAAATTACCACGCGTTAAATTACCACGCGTCGAACTACCACATATGGGTAAAAAAGTGCAGTGACAGTCAATGCATGTATTGTACAATCCACACATGTAGAGTCAATGTATGTATACATGTCAACCCAGTTGAAGTCGACCGTAATCAGCTGACTCCACGCGCCATCTGGTTTGTGAACAGTACATTCTTCTCATAATGTCACTATATTAATACTACAGACTTTATAACTTATTACGAA